AGCAGAGACCGGCCGAGCGCCATCCGCGGGCAGCTGGGCCCGCCGTCCCCGGCGGCATGGAGGAGTGCCAGCGAACAGCATCCAGCCTCGGTGCAGTAAAAGCAGAGGGAATGACTGAGGGGGGGAGGGCATTTTGTGACTGGCTGGCTGGCTTTCTGCCAGCGGCCCGAGCCCTGGTAGGCAGACTGGCTCCAGGGCCCATTCTGCACATACAGGCTGGAGAAACGGGCTGACAGGAACCTCACGAAGTTCAGTAAGGGAGAAAATTCAAAGCCTTGTACCTGTGGAGGAACAATCCCATGCACAAGTACATGTTGATGGCCCCCCAGCTGGAAAGCAACATGAGCCAATAATGTGCCCTCGCTGCAGAGAAGGCTCTGAGGGTATCCCGAGCGGCAATAGGAAAGTAGCATCAGCAGGACGAGGGAGGGTGATCCTTCCTCTCTGCAGCACTGGGGAGGCTACACCTGGAGCGTTGTGTCACTCTTTCCCCTGATGTAATCAAACGTTGCCATTAACCGACAAAAGAAGTCAAGTCAGCTTGTGCTTCTTAATGCAATGGAAAAAGCAATACCAGTGAACTCCAGGGAACGACCCATCCTCTGCTGGGTCTCTGAACGGTCTGTACTTCAGTCCCAGCTGTGTCCAGCCAGCCATCCTGTTCTGAAGCACGGGACCAAGGGCGCACAGCACCACATGGGCACCAAGAGGTCGACTCCAAACAGTGAAGGGAAATAAAGAGATGTAGATTAGTGGGCAGGACTGTGGCTGGTTTGCGGTTGCTGTAAGTACTGGAGATAGTTTGGGGGTGGACTTCAGGAGAATGAAGGCAGGATTGGGGATGGGGGGCGGGGTTGCTATAGCAGGCTTCAGGGGTGCTGACAGAGGCAGCGATGGTCTTGGGCAGGCCATAGGGGGAGCTTTGAGATTGTAGGAGGGAATTGGTTCAAATCTGGGGGTGGTTTGAGGTCCAGGGACTCCAGAGATTCGTGGTGGTCTTGGGGCAGGTTTTAGTGACTAGGAGCTTTGGGGCTGGTTTGAGTGGCCCCTGCAGAGCCCTCAGGCTGGCCGAGCTGGCAAGCAGCAGGTCAGGGTAGGGGCTATCTACCAGAGGGGTTCTAAGTGCATGTGTGTGACAGTGCCTTGAGTTCTACCTGTGGCAACTGACATCACAGGAGAAGTCCTGGGTGACCGCAGATGAAGATCTGTCCTAAAGACATTCTGGGGGACCCCAGTGGACATATCAGGGACCTTGTTGGATATGAAAAACCCACACACCCTATTCCTTCAGAACCATCTCCCATTACCCTTCACGTGTGTTTGTCGCAGAGCAGCCCTCGTCAGGATCCAGCCCTGCACAGCCCTCATTTGCCCAGCATGCAGTGCCCCTCCCCTGAGGACTCCATGCCAAAAGCCTGCTTGAAGGCCTGAGGCAGAACCTTGGGTTCAGCCATAGTATTTTTCCATTCCTTGTGTATTATGCCCTCTCAGACCTTCCTATATACAATGCTTAACCACCATTCCTTCAGCTTTTAATGACTTAAGTGCTGATGACATTTAGTTAGCTTTTCCTCTCTCAATACACTCCTTGCTCTTTTTTTTTTTTCCTGTTTGCTACCCCTTCTAGGCCCCTTCCATACTTATATACTTACTTAGAAAAACACCACTGAAGTGAACAAATCAGGTCACATGGCTTCACTTCCAAGTTTTCGGTCCTCTGGGGATCACCTTGCAAAAGAAACAAATCTACCCAACCTGGTCTCACTGTTTGAGAGTTGACTTGTGAGCACTGAAGCAGGATTTGAGGACGTCGTAGGTGTTCTGGGGCAGGATTTATTTGACACTTGCCTTAGTTGGTGCCTCCAGCCTGTATGAGGGTGTGGGGCTGGTCCCGGGCTGTCTATGCCTGGAGGCATGGAGATCAGAAGGGGAAAAGAGGAGGAAGAAAGAAAACAAGGAAGTGGGATCAGAGGAACAAGAGAAAGTTAATTTGTAAGAGAGGAAGGAGGGCAAATGAGAAATGGAGGGCAAATTCGAGAGGAAAGAGGGGAGAAAGAAAAAGACAGGAAAGGATGGCAGGAAAAATGGGGGTGAGATAGGGAAAGGGAACAAGCACGGAAGTATGAAACCAGGTGGAGAGAGGAAGGGAAGAGGGGAAAGCAGCAGGTGGGAAGCGAAGGAAAGAGGTTGGACAAGAAGGGGAGCGAGGGGATTGACGCCGCCAGGAGAGACCCGTGGCCCGAAGGCCGGGCACGGCCACGCCTGCGCGGGGGAAGCGCTGCACAAACCGGAGGCGCCGCCGGGGCCCGGAGGTCCCGCCCGTGCC